TGCTGGTTTTGACTCCACCTTGTGTAACCTAGGCAGAAACTTTCTCTCCTCTGCCTTGACTAGGTTCACTGCAAAGGGAGACAAATTACATTAAATGGTCACAAAGATATACATAAATATAAATACAGATATAGATCTCATTCAACAAACTCCTTTCTACTAGGAGTGATCTAAAGAAGTAATCAATTTATCAAAATTGGAAGGAGATGGGTATTCTCTCAATACAGGAAATTGTTTCCAGAAATGTGTGATTTTAATTTAAAAAATAATGTCAAATAAATTTCTTTCTTTGCACTCATCAGGTTGAGATCAGGAATTTCAGTCTTTTTCCAAGGTTTTTCATTTGACTTTGGAATGATTTAGTCACCACACAGCATGTGGCCACTACTGTTTTTAGTTGCTAGTCCTGTAAGAACCTGCTTTTACAACACAGTTTTGGTCCCTGGGAGAAAATTTCCATTTTAAAAAAGAAACCAAATTATTACACATTTTCTTTTTTTTTTTTTTTTTTTTTTTTTTTTTTTTTTTTTTTTTTTGAGTTGGAGTCTCACTCTGTCGCCCAGACTGGAGTGCAGTGGCCGCTCCCGGCCACCGCAGCCTCGATCTACTGGGCTCCGGCCATCCTTCCACCTCAGCCTTCCACGTAGCCGGAATTACAGGCACGCCCTACCACGCCCGGCTGATTTTTTGATTGATTGTAGAGATGAGGTCTCGCTGCCCAGGCGGGTCTCGAACCCGTGGGCTCAAGCAATCCACTCACCTCAGTCTCCCAAAGGCGCGGGATTAGAGGCTGAGCCACCGAGCCTGGCTCAGAGTCTGTTTTATTAGCTACTATGCTGTACTGTCTTTCTTGTGGTGTAATACTTTTTATATCATGTTCAAAAGCATGCAAATTTATGCGACTTTTGTATTATTATACAAAATAATGCCATATATTGTTAAGAGATGCCCACATATGTAGTAAAAGCATGAAGATATACATGGGAATGGCAGCGAGCAGGCAGGCAGTCAAATGGTAGTATTTAAGGTGACAATCAGATATCATTAAACTTGTCTTTCAAAATTTCTTATGAAGTTGCCGGCAGAGATTATTTTTCCTCTAGCATTGAATTTTTCGCTGCTTCTATAGTTGAGCCCAGAATTCAATAGCTGGCTTGAGGTTGGGGGCCATGCTGTATGGGAATCGTCACACTCCCAATTGGCCTGTGGGATGCTCACACCAGGGAAAGGAAGAGGGAATGATGACTGCCTGGACCTTCAACAGATTAAGGGTCGTTTCTAGTACCAGAAATGAGGGCAGAGTCACAACAAGTCACTCAGCTCAGCCTCTCTGTGGGAGCGACAAATAAATCAGCAGGCCATATGGCTATCTAGGTCTTTGAGTTTCCAGGGATGGGTGGCTCATAACATCCCGTGATAGTCTTTTCTGGTGTTTATCAACTCCTGTCGTCAATAATGACTTATTTATGTCTAACTCACAACCCCCACTGCAATTTCAGTCCACTTCCTATTACTCTGTAGATATGGGGAACAGATGGTCAACATTCTCCTTATAACCTTCCACAGAATGGAAGATAGCCACTGAAGTCCCCCAGATGACATTTTTTTTTTCCTGACCAAAGAGTTTAAACCTCCTCATTTTTTGTACAAGTATCATTTTCAGTCAATTATCTCACTTGTGCTATGTTGGATTCTTAACAAAGCAAGGATTTTCTTTCTTTCTTTCTTTCTTTTTTTTTTTTTTTTTTTGAGTTGGAGTCTCACTCTGTCACCCAGACTGGAGTGCAATGGCCGCTCCCGGCCACCGCAGTCTCGACCTGCTGGGCTCCGGCGATCCTTCCACCTCAGCCTTCCAAGTAGCTGGAACTACAGGCACATGCTACCACGTCCGGCTAATTTTTGATTTGTTGTAGAGATGAGGTCTCGTCAAGTTGCCCAGGCGGGTCTCAAACCTGTGGGCTCAGGCAATCCACTCATTTCGGCCTCCCAAAGTGCTGGGATTACAGGCTAAGCCACCGAGCCCGGCCAGGATTTTCTTTGAAAAATTATATATGATGATTAAGAGTCTAACAGTAGAAAAACATATTCAGTGAAAACTGGGTCTTCCTCTCACTCAAGATCCCTCAGTCTCCCTCTATAGAAGCAACTATTCTCACTAGGATTTCCTTCCAGAGAAATTTTATGACATATCCAGGTTTATATGAATTTTTTTTCTCTAAATTATCTTCTTCAATTCAGCAAATATTCATTAAGGACCTACTATGTGTCAGGCACTGTGCTAACTCCTGGGGTAGTGTGCACTCTTATGTAACCCCAGTGTTTTCCTGTCCTCAGAAAGTTTACACTTTAGTAGGGAAGAAAGGCATAGTCGTTTAGTCACTTGTTAGGGTACGGGGGGCATGCGATCAGCCCGAAAGTTGATAGGGCAGACGTTTGAATGGGTTGTAGTCAATTGTTTATGAGATATTGATTGAGCACCATCTATGTGCCGGTCAGCATATGAACCACTGAATAACGTGGAGTTCCTGCCCTTCCAGAGCTTAGTGTTTGTGGGAGAGACAAACCAATGAGCAGGCATGGTATGGAATATGAACACATGCCAGGGGAGCACCAAGATGCTCCTTGGCAATGGCTCCACATCCTCTTATAAGCTGTGTGGCCCCGTGTGGGGAGCAGGTCACAAAATTGAAGTCTCCTGCTTAGTGGAAAGAAGAGGGAGTGGAGTCCTAGACAGGAGTAGTAGCACTAGACCCTGGTGCCAGGCACTGGGCCAAGCACTTTACACATCTTCACAGCAATATGAAGTGAGCTCCATGATCCACGATTTACAAATGAGGACATTGGGGGCTCCAGAGAGGTTAGGGAACTGCCCCTAAATCACACAGCTGGGATTCACACTCAAGCTTCTTTCTGTAAAGCCTGGGCTCTTATCCACCATACTGATCACAGTTTGTGGGTTTGGGGGCAAATCATGGGTAATTCTGATATACCTCTTCCTTTCCCCCTCCCCCGTGGAGAATCCTGGCCTGCAGATTGGCTGACTCAGCCTCCTATTAGACTGAATTTTTCCATTGAAGGCATGAGACGGTGAGGAAAATGCAGTTGGTTCTAGCTCCTGCTCTGCATTTCTCAAGCTCTATGACCTTGGACAAGTCATTCTGCCCTTTGGACCTCAAGCTCCTCCTCTGTGAAGTGTGGAGGCTGATGGGGGTCATCTAGAAATCTTTCATGGGATTTGGTGATATTTTCATCACCCTAAAGGGGCTGTAATGACACCTTCTGGGACAAAGACTACATCCCCTTCTTGAGAACAACATAAAACTAGTTCAGTAAATCTATTTATTTTCAAGGCAGTTCGAAGAATGAATTTCCAGTAATGGTAAACAGCTAGCTTCACCTTACTGACACTATGAGATGGGAACATGCTAATGCTTTCTTGGCCTTTGGTTTCTGCTCATAGTTCTAAATACCCCCCCTCCATTTTCTCAATAAAGTGAAATGAGCCTTAGTTAAGTGAGCAAGTACACATTTAATATATCCAATTTAATTAAAGCAATAATCAGCTAGGAACTGAAGATAATCTTTAGTGAAAACTGGGAAAGAGCCCTCAAATTAATGGTGTTATTGCAGGTATGTAATAACCTGAGAACATTGCTCATGCTGATTTTATGCTTGAGAGAGCAGCCCCATGACGTGCTACAAGCCACAAAAAGAGGATCTACCTGTGTCAATATGCCCCATAAAGCTAAGAGCAGAGAGGCTGATTTGATCCAGAAAAAAAGGTGACTGAGGCATGGCCAGCAGATGAGTCTCCTGTTTTCTGTTTATTCCATTTAACATCAAACGTGGAGACCAGATCTGGTCATTTGGGGTTCATAAAGAGTTCAATTCTCAGGTAAGTGTCTCTCTTCCTCCCTCCCTTCATTCTTCTTTCCCTTCCTTCCTTCCCTTTCCTCCTCCTTTCCTTCTTTCTTGCCTTCTCTTTTAAAAATTTCTTAAATTATAAAAGTAGCAAATACTCATCATAAAAGAACCGAATTGCATGTAATTGTATGAAGTATAAGATGTAAGTTCTTGGTCTCTACTCTTTCTTTCTCTCCTTTTCTTTCTCTACTTATCCTCCTCTTCTTTCATTTTTTTTCAAAATGATGAAAGTATTGTGTGCTCACTGTAAAATAATCAAACAGTACAGAATCATTGGAGGTATAAAGGAAAGCTATTTAGTTCCAGTTCTTCTTTCCTATCTCTTTCTTTCCCTTCCTCCTGTCTTCTCTCCTTTCCTCTTTCTCTCCCTCCCTTTCTTCTTTTGTCCTTTTCTTCAATTTTAAAAATTATTTAAGTAATGTATGCTCATTGTAAGAGAATCACAGAATGGTACGGAAATGTCCTCAAGCCCCACCCCCTTCCCCAACCCACATTTTTATGCCTGACATATAGATTTACCTTATTCCTTTTAATGGCTGCATAGTATTCTGTTGTGTAATGTCCCATGAGTTATTTACTCAGTGCCAGGTAAGTTTCTTGAACATACCTTGGAATTGTTATAAAAGTTTAGGGGAAAAGGAAGAAAAATATAAATTGGGCTGTTTGCTGCTGAAAATTCCATTTTATAGATAGCAATCATATCCATTCCTATAGCACTTTAGACTTTGAAAATTGCCTTAGAAATATCATCTCATTTGATCCTCTTCTAGGGCAGCTCCGGGAAATAGGCAGATTATTATCTCCATATTTACAGATAAGGAAACTGAGACCCAGGGAAATTAAAGAACAGAAATATGTATGGTCTCACAGCTAGTTACTGATTCCCAGTCAAGCCCTTATAGCACTATAAATTTAAGCTGCATTTCATCTTGCAAGTCATAAAAGATTTAGACACTCCCTTACTTCTAAGCTTGTAGTTTAGAAAATCCATCCAACTCATACAAATTCCCTTATTATTCTAATGAGAATGGCAGTAGAACACTTGGTAAATATGAAGAGCCTGATTAATGACTGGTGATCATAGCCAGTCCAAGATTCATTTGATTTCCTAATTGGCTTCTGTTGCATTAAATGTAAAGTGAGTATTCACAGCAAATCCCACTTAAAAGTGGAAAGACACACAATATGTTGCATTATCCTATAGGCAAGGAAATACTTAAATCAGTAGTAAATCATTCAGAAGTGTATTTTATTTAAAATAAAAATGCCTATACGCACATTACTGCCAAGTTTCTGTAACTTGTTTTGGTAGGATTTGCAGTTTTTACATCACTCTTCTTGGAGAAAAGGAAGGATTTTCAGTGTGCTTCCCTCATAAGAAGATTTAGTTACAATTAATTAAGGAGAGAAGTGGTTAAATATAGTGAAATGGTAGTCAAGTTTCTCTAAATAGATCTGCTTTGAAAACAGGAATAATTTGATGAGTTTCTTTTGTTAACAAGATCTTACATAGCCTTCCTCTAAAAAGTTTAAGGTCATTAAAACTGAAAATAGTTGGAATGGAGTGTGTGCATTAGGGTTTACTGTATCACATTTTGTAATTGTGGATTTAATGCCTATCTTCCCCACTGGGCTAACTGACCTACGAGAGGAGGTATCTCTGTCTTGTCGTCCCAGCACTGTATTCCCAGTGGCAACACAGTGGCTGGCACACGGTAAGAGTCAGTGAAATTTAGTGAGCAAGTGTACATATAAATCAATTAGTGAGGTTTCAGCTAGGCTGGATAACTCAGGTAAGCACATAGGGAGAAACTATCTGGGATTTGTCTGACATGGTTTTTAGCAAAAGGGAAAAACCTTAGGTGGGATGAGAAGGAAAAGTGTGGTCACATACATTTAGAAATTGTTTGTTCTGAATCTGAGCTGGGCATATTTCTGACTTTTTGAACACAGATTTAGACAATGAAAAAACATATCACAAATCAGAGACTTTATGGATTGATTCTCATGTCCAGTTTCATCTTTCTATCAGGTAAGAAAATGTATTTTTATTATCTCTTCCAACGTCTCATATATACTAGGTTATAAAATAAACCATTTGAAGAATACTGCCAGTTGAGATTCTCAATGGTCTTCTTTTGGTCAATATGACTGTAGGATAAGCTGGAGCTTCAGTAAATGAACTTATTCATTATTATGTACCACTGATGGAGAACTGGCTTCAAGTAGGCAGTAACTTAGACTACTGCTCTTGACATTTCTTTTTTATTTATTTATTATAAAGATGTGGGGTACAATTCAGGGTTAGGTATATAAACATTGATCATGCAGGTACCCTTGCTGATTCTTTTTTTTTTTTAAGTTGTAGTCTCACTTTGTTGCCTAGACTGGAATACAGTGGCATGCTCACAGCTCACTGCAGCCTCAACATCCTGGGCTCAAGTGATCCTTCTGCCTCAGCCTCCTGAGTAGCTGGGACTACAAGCATGTGCCACCACACCCAAATAATTTTTTGATATTTTGTATGTAGAGACGAGGTCTTGCTATGTTTCCTAGGCTGGTCTTGAACTCCTGGGTTCAAGCAATACTCTCATCTCAGCCTCCTAAAGCTCCAGGATTACTGTTGTAAGTTGCTGTACCTGGCCACAATTGACATTTCTTAATGAAACTCTGAAATGCCATTTGGCGGTTAATGAACACCTAACAGATTGGGGTTTTCTTTTGGGGCTATTTCTTCTCATGTATGACGCTGTATTTAAAGCTCCCTGGAGCATTGTGATACTATATTTCTGTCGCCATTATAGGTATTTGGCAATGATCATAGAATACAAACAGGGAAACTGAGGTGTGCCAACAGCTGGTCACTGATTCACAATGACAAATAGCCATATTTTTGGAAGGGACTTTGCCTAGATTCTATGACAGGAATGAAGATAAGATTCTTTGTCTCTACTTTGCAGTGAATAGATGATTAAGGCAGTTCACTGAAGTAGCTAATAATTTGGAGACTTAGAAAGTTGTCTTATAAAACTGCAATTTTGTTTATATCAAGTAAATTCAGTTGATTATATTGCTCATTTAGCAAACAGTCTTTAGCTAAAAGGTCATACATGCCAGTGAATGACAATGCCTGATGAAAATGACCTGAAGTTTAATTTGGATAATTCTCAGAATTGAGAGCTAATCTTCTGGAAAAATACCAAATCATCATCATTGACAACAGCAAACACTGACTGGCTTCGTGATGAATGCAGAGACTGATGGGAAATCATGTTTCTTATAATAAAGGTTGAAATGGAGCCTACAGGTCACAGTGCCTACCTGCTAAGATGTTGATTTATCTTTCCTCTGCTTGTTTCTTCAAACCCAAGAAACTATATTTTCTCCATTTCTTTATCCAAAACATCCAATACAAATCTTGATACAAAGGTTAGTCAGTCAATACATAAGAGAGGAGACCCCCAAAAACCGGAATTATTTTTTGGAGGGTGAGCCCCTTGTAATACAGGCTTCCCTCTTTAGGTAAGTGTTCTAGGACCCCATTGGTATCGGTGTACCAGCTAGCATTGTTGTGAGTGGCTGTGTTTGGCTTCAGTGAATTTTTTTTTAGATTCTTTCAAAGTGTTTGCCTGTTTCATGATGGATGATTTACAAGCGCACCTGCCCACCCGGTGTTGAATGTTCAGCCGTTTTTGCCCAAAACCGGCATGACTCCAGTGCTCCACCCTCACTATTTACCCCATCTTGCCACAAACGACTTTTTGTTTGTTTGTTTCCCTGATGAAGAAAGTCCTCAAAGGGAAACGTTTTGCCGATGTGGAAGAGGTGAAATAAAAAATGGTATAAGCAATAAAAGGCATCACAATTGACGAATTCAAAAGCTGTTTTGAGCAGTGGAAAAAGCGTTTTGATAGGTGTATTGTGTCAAACAGAAAGTACTTTGAAGGTGATTGAAGTTTAACTATGTAAGAAAAATACACAATTTTTAAATAAATAAATTCTGTTTGGGGGGAGTTCCCTCTCATATGTGTTGATTAAATACATTTGCACAATTTGAAGTTATACAACTTTAAATACCTGTATGGTGTGGTGTATATGACACAAACTCTAGTAGGATTTTGTGAAGGGTCCTGGGACATGGAATGGAGCAACGTAAGACTAGAGGCACATGGGAGTCTAGTGTAGCCATGGAATAGAAAGCAGAAGTGTGTGTGGTACTGGAAAGTTTGGGTGGGTTCTGTGAGGAATGTCATTCATCAGCAAAAATTATGACAGATGCGCAGATTTTAAACATGCAGAGGTCACTTTAAAGCAGTCACAAGGTTTTCCAGGCTGTTTAAGTCTCAAATTCATGAGTTAAGGCGATGATTTTTAGGTTATCAATGAAGTATAATTGTCCTTTGATTGGTGAGAAATTCATTACTTTCTTCCTGGAAAAAAAAATACTATGTTCTTGAAACAATAGTGTAACTAAGATTTAGTAGTACCCTTCAGGCACCAGATGAATCACCAGCCTCCCAAATGTGAGAGTCATTATGGAGGAGAAATTAAGGCTACATGAAGCATAGGGTGACTCAGAGATGCTCTAACTGGATGGTACCAGAGAATGAAGGAAAACTGTGTCCGTAGACGAAAGCCAAGAGACAATAAGGAGAAACCAAATCTGTAATAAAGTCTATGGAGTGAGAGCAAGGCCAGCAAAAAGAGACGGGAACTGAATAGTTGCAGAATGAAGCGAGAGGTAAATAATAAGGCGCACATGAGAGAAGAAGGCCTCGGACTACAAAACTTGGTTTCCTGGTGCTCCATCTTAATCTTCTCTGGCTACCATAACAAAATCAACTGGGTAGCTTAAACAACAAACATTTATTCCTCACAGTTCTGGAGTTTGGAAGTTCGAGGTCAAGTTGCCAAATGATTCAGTTCCTGGTGAGGGCTCTCTTTCTGGCTTGTAGAGAGCTACTTTCTCCTCGTGTCCTCACATGACTGAGGAAGAGAACTGTTTTATTCTTCTTCTATAAGGCCACTAATTCCATCATGAAAGGGTCGCCTTCATGTCCTCATCTAAACTCAATTGCCTCATAAGGGCCATACCTTACAATGCCATCACATTAAAGGTTAGGTCTTCAACACAGAAATTTGGGGGGAATAGAAATAACATGGTCTTTTCTCTTACCAATGCTAGCTATTGACGGTGTGATAGCTGCATGATGGGTAGGTGGAGAGGTCTAGGTTACAGACATAGGGCTAAAGTAGTTATCTCAAATCTCCCCCATAACACACATACCCATCAAGTGGAGTGGGATAGGCTTTGGTGAGTGAAAGAGTGCAGCATGTTCTAAAGCATTCTTGAGGCAGGAGGTTGGAGTTTTGTAACACATAATCATGTGCTGAAGGTAGGCAGCCTCTACAGTAGCAACCTTTTGCTCCTATATTAGATAGTCAATCTGGACTGGAATCCACTTCCTTGAGAAGTTCTCACATATGCAGAAACGATCTGACCAGGAATCCTCTTGACATAGGAGGGCCCCAGAGCCACGTCAGAAAATCAGTTCTGATGCTGTAGAGACCAGCTAGGTCAGGGTCAGTCAGGATGCAGTAGGAGTGTAGAGGTAAAAACACTCTTCTGAAAGGTATTTGTATAGCTAGGTTTCAAGAAAAGCCCCATTGAGTCTTGAGAGTTTATTTTGGAGAGAAAGGAGAAGTGGAGAATAAACTTTGAGTCAAAACTCTAAATTTCTGTATAAATTATAGAGTTGAGCTGTCCAATATGGTAATTACTTGCAACATGTGGCTAAGTTTTAATTAATTAAAATGAAATTAAATGAAAAATTCAGTTCTCAGTAACACAAGCCATGTTTTAAGTGCTCAATAGCTACAGGTGGCTAATTGCTACCATATTGGGCAGTGCAGATATAGAACATTTCCATAATTACAGAAAGCTTTATTGGACAGTGCTGTTTGAGAGAGGCTGTGGGAGACTGGCCCTTTGAGAAAAGACATTTGTTTTAAACAGCTTTATTGAAATGTAATTACATATCATAAATTCACCCGTTTAATGTGCACAATTTAATGGTTCTTAATATATTTACAGAGTTGTGTAACCATTATCACTATCTAATTTCAGAATATTTTCATCACCTCTCAAAGAAACTCTATACTCTCCATTTCTCTCCCAACCCTCCAGTCCTTGGCACCCACTAATCTGCTTTTTGTCTCTATGGATTTGCCTACTCTGGACATTTCATATAAATATGTGACCTTTTGTGTCTGACGTTTTTCACTTAAGATAACGTTTTTGGGGTTCATCCACGTGTAGCAAGTACCAGCAGGTCATTTCTTTTTATTCTCAATGTTCAATTGTATGGATATGCCTCATATTGTTCCATTCATAAGTGATAAACATTTGAGTTGTTTCCACTTTTTGCCTATGATTAATAATACTGTGGTGAACATTTGTGTACAAGTTTTTGCGTGAACATATGCTTTCATTTCTTTTGCGAATATATGTAGGCATGTAATTGCTGAGTCATATGAAGATTTATGATTAACATTTTTTTTTTTGAGTTGGAGTCTCACTCTGTCACCGGGAGCAGCCACTGCAACCGCGACCTGCTGGGCTCCGGCGATCCTTCTGCCTCAGCCTTCCAAGTAGCTGGAACTACAGGCACGCGCTACCACACTCGGTTAATTTTTTGATTTATTGTAGAGATGAGGTCTTGCCAAGTTGCCCAGGCGAGTCTCAAATCCACGGACTCAGGCAATCCACTCACCTCAGCCTCCCAAGGTGTGGGATTACAGGCTGAGCCACCGAGCCTGGCTAGGCCAGAACATATTAATCACCCTTCACCAACAGTGAAAATATGATGGGGAATTGCATAGGCTGAAGAGGAGGTCTGAAATGCTATTTTCCTCATGTTGTTTGCCTCCCAGATGTGGAGGGGGGCCACAAGATCCCTAGCTTGGATTTTTATTACCTAGACACTTTTGAGTTAGCCAAGTAGGCCAGAGTTTATGGGATCTGTAATCGTC